ATGTAATCATGTGACATATACGTGTGCCAAATACAACGAATGCACACACTGTATGCCATAAACATGAACCTAAAATAATGAAAGTGGGGAAAGGGGACTTAAAGATGGTAGGTGGGGAATGGAAAGGGATTAAAAAGAATCAAGATGTGTATGTACATGTGCCTGCTCTGTAGGATGACTGTAAACTTCATGTATTGCAAACATACTAATAAAATAAATAAAAATTTTAAAAATCTGTATGTTTTATTATATGTCAAGTATACCTCAATTTTTAAAAACCCTGTTACATACACACATATGATTGGGAAATGTGCTTTTCACTGTAAGTTTCCCACAGATGTGATGACACAGTGAAAAAAAAACAGGGCCTGTTTACATGTGATTTCTATCCACCAGCCACACATCTGGTGAAATTCTCTCTGGGTCTTACACTAATCAAGTGTGAATTTAAGACAATTTAATGTTCACCTCAGATACTGGAGGCCCTATAAATGATAATCCATGTTATGTGGCAGAAACATAGTAAGCACTCAATATATGTCAATCCCTACACATAAGCAGAAAATTAGGTATCAAAAATATAATAAATTATTTTTCCATGATTTCCAACTTATCAAGAGCAAGATAAAAACCCACAAAAACAAAAACAGCTAACAAACATTAGTATTTACCCTGAGGAAAGAAGCTTGGACACTGTACTGGTCAGCTTTCCCACAGCTGGGACACAGCACCTGGCAGCACCAGCCTTAGAGGAGAGGTTCATTGTGGCGACGGTTTCTATCCACGCCTGGTCTGCTGGCTCCAAGGTGAAATGGCACAGTGGACAGACACGGCAGAGGAGAGCTGCTCATGTCATGGCAGCCCGGAAGCAGAGACAGAGGGAAAGCACGAGCCAGGGGCAAGAATACCCTCCCAGGTCATGCCGCGGTGGCCCGCCCTCCAATCAGGCTGCTCTGCCCAACATTGTAGATCTAAACCGTAACAGGTACAGACAAGGATTTGTCTACAAGGGTATTCATGGCACTCTTTAAAATAGCAGAAACCTGGGAAACTGAACAAGGACTAGCTTATACAAACACAAAAATCGGTTTTCTGATAAATAAAAGTACTGTATATAATCTAGACATAAATATAAAAAAGTCCTCTCACACAAAAACACTTGTAAGTTTTACTGATCTGTACCTTAGTCAAAATTCAGGATGTGGAGAGAAAAGAAGAAAAGTAATATAGTGAGTATATCTGCTCCTTCCTTTATTATGTACACTAAGAAAACTAATTTGCAGCAAATTTACTATGAATCAAAGTATGAATTTAAACTCATACATTCACAATAGAAAAAAATCAAACCACAATAATCTAGAGCTACAAAGAAGTAGGAAAAGAATAGATAAAAAATAATTTTAAAGCAAATTAAAATAGGATGGAGTCAGGCAGTGTCAAATATAAGAACACCAGAGATTAAAAAAAAAAAAAAAAAAAAAAAAAAAAAAAAAAAAGATGCAAAAAAGGTAGAGTCAGATATTTTTTTTACCCAAGATAAAAATATTCTAGGCAATCCATCAGTTGTCTGTGTACACTGACTGGCTGTCAAAAAGCAATTTGACCGCATATGACATGAAGCTAGACCTGCCTCAGCCTATCAGTACACAAATACCTTCTGTCCACCACAGACCTAACCACTATTGAGTGATTCCGCACACACCTGCCAGACACCAAACAGTGACACACAACACTTCGAAAGGGAGCTGATGATAGACTCACACACAGGACAACAGGGTATGAACAGACAAATTGCCACATTGTGGCAATTTCTACATCTGAGGATCTGAAAGTCCTTTAAAGGTGCTAAATATGACAGTTTGACCTTAGAAAGCATAGTTAGCTATATAGTTTTTATGTTCTTAGTTGTACTCCCCCAATAAATCCAAATGTGAAAATTAAGGGAAATGTAAGTGAAATTCTCCAGTACCTTTTCAGTTACTGCAATTGCAAGCAACAGGAATGATCTGGGCTAAATGTATTTTATTCTAAGTCAACATTTCCAAGAAAGCAGTGGTTTCATATTTCTTTGCATTTGTTTTGAATATGTCTCTCAAGTTTGGAATA